AAGGCAGCATGTGTTTACATAATGAAATTGCTTATCACATTCGTGTTGATTTTGTCACTTTATGGGGGAGGGAGGTGTTGTAAACAGGTCAAATTCTCTTTTAGTCCATCACTGATATGAAGTGTTTCTGATATTAGACGTACCTAGCGATTTTTGAAATGCTTTTTCTGGATTATTTCAATATTGTCAAAACCAATTTTGTGGCCTGATTTTATAGCGTGTAGACTTATGGCTGATGATTTTTTAGGCTTTTCTAATTCAACTGGATTTCTCGGTAGTCGAACAGATGTTCTACAGTATTCATTTCTTCTGATTTTAATTTCTCGAGATGTTTGTCCGATGTATATCGCATCACATTCCAAGCAGTTTATTTTATAGACACAATTAGATGAAGAATCTCTAGGGATTCGGTCTTTTATATGGACAAGGTTGTTTCTCAATGTGTCTGATACTTTGAAGGAAAGTCAGTAAAAACAATATCACAGTGTTTTTCATTGACTGAGCAACAGACTTCGTTTAAAAATGGTTAATGGCCTGTTCACTATTTATCTCTCTCTCTATGGTGTGTGCTACTGACAAGATTTGTAAGCAGCAGATACATACGGATATAAATATGTATATGATTTGCGAAGATATCGAATAGCGGAGAGATGGATTTAATGGCGAAGGGAGGAAACGAATGATTCTTGTAAGACAGCATTGGAAGTATGCAAGGAAGACAAAGTAGCACGATACGGAGACATGTACAAGCTGCGATTGTAACATATGGTAGGTGTATTTTGCCTATATATATATAATATATATATATATATATTCATTTGCCAATAAATAACTCCGTTGTCGAATACTCTTTTGTTCTACAGTTACATCTTTATAGATCTGATTAACAAAACAGTTAAGATATCCATTTCAGATGTGTTTATGGAGATTAAAATTTGTTGAAAGACAAAAAATGACTACCAGCCTTGTTTTCTGCAGGATAAAACTTTTAACGACAAACTCATTCATGCTTTTAGATAACTGATACTATTCTTTAAAGTCAATTTATTGACCAATAAGCAGTTGTTTTTGGACGAATATCGACTAGGTCACTCAATACATCAACATTATTACAAATAAAGATGAATGGAATGTAGCTTTGTTGGATGCTTATATAACTGTTACTATAGTAACAAGTGCATTACACATGAGAAATAATGAAGCAAACCATTATAAAAGACAAACCGATCTAGTAATAAAAAAAGAGTTATTCATCAATGATCATAGCACAATAAATCGAATATTTTTAAGGTTGTAAAGTGAAGACACAATGTAAATCATGAAAATTCTGAGAGAAAACCACCATAAAAAAGCTTTAAATCTTCATACCGTTAGAAAAAAACAACTAAAACGCGACTACTTGTCATTTGTAAACACTTACACTGAGCATCATATGTCTTCTCCTGTGGATCAGTAAATGATTCGCTCAAAGTTTGTGGAGGAGGGATTACATTTTCCTGTGATGCCCCAGATATGAAGAAAGCAGTAGAACAACTCAAGTCTATTCCCTCATTTTTATTGGTTTGACGTTCACTAGATGAGCGTGGATAGTGACGAATCTCAGATACAGGTGAGGTAAACTGAAAAATTACAGTAAAGTTTATGTTTTGGGAAAAGTCATAATTTACTTTTCAAAATGTATAATAAAGAAGAAATAAAGAAGTACAGAACTGGTCAGGACATAACTTGCAGCGAAACACTTCCTCCTCTCTCTCTGCTCTCGACATCCCACTCGTGAGCACAATTAAAAATCGGAAAGGATCTCACTTATGTTACTTACAACTGTATATACCAATTCACGCGAATTCGCAGAAGAAATTACATAAGAAAAACAGGAAGAAGAGTTTACACAATATTTTGTGAACATATACCAAAGAACTCTCTACCAAAAGGTATTAGATAGTTTGGATTCGTCAATCGCCAAACACCTGATAGACGTAGGACATAGAATAGACGCATTGGGAGCATTCAAAATAATTAACAGGCAGTCTTTCCCGGTTTTCTGAGGCTATCGCAAAACAACACCAAAGACCTAATTTATGTGTCCAAGAGAAATCCGTCGTTAAACCTTAAAACTCCCCGTAACTTTTTTCCTAACTTATTGCTTATTGTGTCACTTTGTTTTATTCTCTCACTTGGTTTTCATATTGGACTTCAATTTTTGATCGTTTGAGCTTTACTCACTGCATTTTGTTACGTCTTATTACGCAATACCTTGATCTTTCATTTCGCTGCAGTCAGCAGGATTTTCTTTTCAGCATAATATTTACTCTAGTAAGATACACATATTTGGAACACTTCAAAATAACATACACAACTATGTCCTACTTCACTATGACATTACATTGATCATTGCTGGGAGACCGATTCCTTCCTATCAACGAATTAAAGTAAGGCAAGACTTTTTCTTTTATCATAACTCGTATTAAATCTTCAGAGTTTTACGCAGCTGAAGACAACCCACGAAGTAAAAATGAAACTATCTCAGTCTACACAAATGGTTATTCATGCTCTTTCGAAGTTTATAAACGGGATTATACGCATTAATCGAATATAGAAAGTTCAGCATAGAATTCAATAAATAAAAGGACTGTATGTTCCACATACTCCGAAAAGTACATCCACTATACTGTGAATAAAGCAAGAACAACAGTGGTTTATGCAGAATAATATGGTACTACCATTGTTTATTTCGTTGGCTTCTCATCAGCTGCTGCTTACAGCCTAAATAAATTATGAGGTTTACGTACAGAAAAGTTTTAACATACTTGCAAATTTTACATGTTGTCAGTTGACAGAAAGTTCCACAATTAGTGAACAGTGCTCAGAAAATTGTATCTGAGGGAGCAGTTACATTGGAAGGATAGAAAGAAGGGCATATCTACGGTTTTCTGAACATGTACCAAAAAGCTTAAGTCTAAAGACAACAAATGCTTCACACAATGCCATCGCCAGGCATCTCCTCAACACAGGTCATGAGGTGCAAATCGGGAAATCCTTTAAAATTATTAATAGACAAAAGAGCACCATTCTCCTCAAGTTTGCCAAAGCAATTTCTATTAAACGCTTCAAACCAGATTTATGTGTTCACAAAGAAGCAGTCATTAGTCTTTCCTCGCACTGGTAACTGGATGTCTCTATTCTCTCATCTGATTACGTAATCTTCGTCTTTAACCTCACTCTCACTTCCTTTTTATAATCTGTAATTTTGCTTTTCTCTTGTTTCTATGACATGTGAGTTGAACTCAGTACATTGTTACCTAATTTATTAGTTACTCATCATCTTAGTCATCTCTCGTCTTTATTACGTAACTCCTTTACCATTATATGCATACATTTATTTCGACTTGAACTGCCTGTGCAAAAACTATAGAAGCGCAATTTTCTGAGCACTGTTCACTAATTGTGGAACTTTCTGTCAACTGACAACATGTAAAATTTGCAAGTATGTTAAAACTTTTCTGTACGTAAACCTCATAATTTATTTAGGCTGTAAGCAGCAGCTGATGAGAAGCCAACGAAATAAACAATGGTAGTACCATATTATTCTGCACAAACCACTGTTGTTCTAGCTTTATTCAAATTCATCAAGGGGAATAAATGCAAAAAGTGATTTTACAGTATCTTTTTGTTAAAACAGAAATAATGCGAAACGGGATTCAAGTACTGACACAGAGAACGGCACCAGTCACTGAATGTTGGATTATAAGCTAAGCTGCCTTTATTGCGAAACAGTCGTATTGTCACGGGAAACACAAGCTATCAAACAATTTAGAAACAGGTGAAAAAAGTAGATTACTAATTCATTAGTGTGAAATCTGTCTGGAGATCTACAAGACTTAGCTTCAAGAACAAGATTCGGATTTTCAACACTAATAACAAGTTAGTTCTTCCGTATGTTTCAGGAAATTGGCTTGTCAACAAAAGCATTCCCAAAAGTTTAGTATAGACTTTTATTAACAGCTGCCTCCGCTCCATACTGAAGATACGATGACCGGATAGAAAGGGTTAGCAGCTGGGAACTCCATCACTAGACTGACCAACCAAGAACCCATAACCCAACAAATGTGCCGAAGAAAATGGAGATGTATCGGACACACTTTGAGGAGACCGTTAAGTGACATCGTGAATGGGAAACAGCGAGTTGGGCATCTAGGGGGGATATGGATGAAATGAGAGCTTATGGGTAGAAGTGGACCCAGCTAACGAGGACCAGCAGAGAGCATGATGAAATGGATATGTGCTATTGAAGACCTATGTTTCACTAGGCAAATAATAATTCATTATTCTATCTCCATTGGTTGTTCCAATTCAGCTAACAGTGTCTAAGTGTACCTCTGTTAATGCCGTATGTTTGAATTTGCTGAATGAATATATGAACTGACTATATAGTGGATTTACGCACACTTCTAATGCTCCAATACTATTACTAATACTGCCTGTTTGACGGGCTGAATTTCGATTACTGTAATTATACTGTAATTGTATTATTGTAATGCAACACTACTACTCTTACAATCTGTCTTGTTCTTGTGTCATATCCTGTGCAAAAAGGTGTAGTTAGTACTCAATGAGGGAAATACTTTTTAATTCAGTTACAAAATGGTAGAAAAATGAACCGGAAAATGCCTTCATAACTCACATTGGAACGACTTCTGAGGATATTAGTTTTCTCCTTTTTGCTAGTATCTAATCTGGAACAACGTTCAGTTGGCTTAATGAAAGAATTTTCTGTCCAGGTAGGTAAACCTGGCCTTTTAAATGTTGAAAACTGTAGAAATAAAATAAATAAAGCAAAAGAAATATGAATTCGCCTTAAATGTCTTATTATTAATGCTATTGCATCTCATTTGAAAAATCAAGTCTTATAGAAGTATACAAAAAGATTAGTAAATGAAACTTGGGGTAGTTAACACGTGTTTCATAGTTTCTTCTTATACTAAAAATGACAGACTATATGCGAATGACAATGAGCCACAACTATTGTGTGAGGGGCCGGTCATTACCCTGCTGTCCAAACATCAGTAGGTGGAGCAGTGTTCGAACCCCCTGGCTCACTGGTTAGAAGACAAGAGCCTAGATCAATGCACATAGACTTTACCGATGCATAACCCGGCATAATGGCAACAGTACTGTATACCTTTTATTGCTGCACAATTCGGTTTGGAAAAAGACTGACTTGTTATTTACAAAAGGCAAGTGAGATTATACTAGATATATGTGTATTCTGAAAACCCTCCTTACAAAGTCGGTTAATGTGTTAAAAGCGGTCTATTGGCAATAATAAGATTATCTGTAATGATGGGACAACATTCAAAAATACTTTATATGTAGGGTCGATAAATGTAATAATAGTGAGAGAAGAGGAAATAGACAGAAGCATAATAAAGTGACTAAGCCAAGATTATTAAAAGCTTTTGAAGATGAAGAACAGTGAATTTTGTTCGTCACTACTATCATTTTCCTTCCACATTACCCAACGTTTCAGACCACTGCTTTCAATCACCATAATCCAAACAGCCTACACATCTGCACGGATCTTAGAACAACAGTCAGATACTCTTATAAGAATCAGAAATACATACAGATATATGTCAGATATAACAGTGGAAACAAATGTCGTGCATGGATCAGCAATACTTGGGTAACAGAAGACAAATGAAGTGGAATACTTATATTATTAAGCCTTAGTTTCACAGAGAAAATGCCCACATAAAAAAAACAACTATATACAGAGGGGTTATCTTAAAGACAATCGAATGAGCATTGGACTGTGTATAGCCGAACATCAATCCAGACTACCATACTTGGAGAATGCACATTTGACAGAAAAACAAATGTGATGTTACTGTGAACAGTAGGAAGAATGATACCTTCACGAACAATGAAAGTGTCTCACACTTAGAAAATGATGAAGTGTGAATACATTTGCATCACATCAAAAAGGGTGTTTAACCAATAAATCACAGTCTAGTGAATACCTTAATCAGGCAACCTACACCACCTAACGTGATACAAATCAACAGTCAGTGAATTTGTTGGTCGACAGCATGATTTGCTTTCATTGCCCTTAAGTTTTTTCTAATCCAACAGTACTTCATTTAATAGTCAGTCGAGAAATGGCGTGATTCAGCAGGGGTAAAATACCCCAATCACCTGAGTGGACAAAGTATCACAACCTTATCAACTGCCTTACCTTCCCTAACACTTTGAGCCTAATCACACTATTTAATACGCTTCTCCACCTAAGGTGGGCAAGTAAACACAGACACCTATGGCATAAAATTGATAATAGTTTTTAACAACCTTTTCTTAGCTGTAAAGTAAGAAAAAAGGACATTCTAGGGTTTGATGAACATTCGGTTAGTTACACTGATTTCCGAGCTTCCATTTCTACTGACAGAGATAGACATCATTCTCAGTGCTATTACTTTACAGTGAGGTGTTACTGATGTGTGAATGAAAGTGTTTGTGAAGTGATGAAATGGTTAAAATAGTACAACGATGTTTGGTAGCGTGCTCATTGGTTTCGTCAACAAAAGGGATAGAAACAAGAGATAGATTTCTCCTATTTATTTTATGCAAATTTATACTATTGGTCCTTAAATGTGTATCGGTGGTAGTTCAGTGGCAAGATGCGCATAAGCCACACATGTGGTCCAGGGTTCGACTCGTGACCGATGCAGTAGTTCTAAATCTTGCTCAGCTGACAATAGGCCCGGTAAGAAGGAAAGGATTGGGTGTGAGGCCAGCAAACTCACTCCTTAAAAGATAACACCGTCGATACTGAAACGTCAAAGTCAAAGCTTGAAGCCTCATTGTTCCACTCGGAAAGCAAAGAAATGAAGAAACTGAATTCACTTTCAATAAATGCTTTAGTAGGAATTTTAAACAATACATCGAAAGTCTGAGAGTGATTGACCCGAAGAAGTATACATCCCAATACTATCGCCTAAAATCGTATAAAAACCCGTCTACCAAAGAAGCGAAATAGGTGTTCATAAAAAAATCCAAACTACACAATGCATGAGCATAGCTTCTTTTAGGATAAAAGCACTTCTCGGCATAAAAACATGATTGTCTCCAACTACAAATCTAGAATCAACAAAACAGTAATGTTATGATGGCTAGTTCTGTATGCAAATAAGTTTTTTTTCCCCAACCGAAAGCTGCTACCTTGACGTGGTGGTCGGGCATGAACATCGCAATGATCTATTCAAGCTATACTGGTTGAGACTTATGTCTCTTGAGGTCCTACCATGCCAGGCAGGTTGTTTGGATAGCGGTTAAACAAAAAGCAGCTACCCAATCCAACATCATGATAAATACAAAATCACAAAATTTCATGCCGGATCCGCCGTGGCCCGGATTAACAACGACCGCGCTTCCTGCTGCCGTGTCACAGGGCAGGAGTGATAAATATGCCACTGAGGCACACAAAACAGAAAAGAACAAACAAACGCAGGCCGCGTGTGACCGGCCTCAAGCAGTTGTCCCCCGGGCTCTGCGGTCACGCAACCAACTTCCACGGTGTGGGCAGCCGGGAAGTAACAAACGCCCTCACAATCCGAAATGCACACAAAACCTCTCTTACTACTTAACAAATCGACAGTATTTAAAATTTAAAGTTGCAATAGAGAGGTAACTGCCATTCCAAGCTTTGTTCAATGATGATCCCCAGTGTGGCGATTTGCTCAATACATGACTTGTTTCTCCTGGAACCAGCCTGTTCCGGTGAGCTCCGAATTCAATGAGGAGCGAAAGCTGCACAAAAGGAAACTTACGAAAAGTCTCCGCAAATACCGTGAACAGTGGTGGGCGACAAAAGCCAAAGAGATGGAGAAAGCTTTGAGGATAGGCAACACCAGGCAACTATTTACACTCATCAGGGAAACGGGTGGGAGAAGACAAATCATTAGTGAGACAATCTCGGAAAAAAATGGCACTATAATTAGCTCACAGGATAGACGACTGGATCGTTGGAAAGAGCATTATGAGGAGCAGTTTAATTTGCCCACAGCCACGCTCAACCTTCCGAACATCCAACACCTCCCTGAATGGCATATAGACACAGGTCCTCCGTCACTAACTGAGGTTACTAAAGCTATCACCAATCTGAAACTAGGCAAAGCAGCGGGACCTGATGGAGTGACTCCAGAGGTATTTAAGTACGGTGGAGACAGCTTACTGTCCGGATTAACTGAGGTACTAGGCAGCGTCTGGGAATCAGAAGAAGTCCCATCGGGTTGGTGTAAGTCACTGATTATCCCCATATACAAGAAGGGAGACAAGTCTTCCTGTGATAATCACAGAGGGATTAGCTTGACTAATATAGTATCTAAAGTCTTAGGCTCAATAATCATGCGTAGACTGAGTGGTGCTCGGGAGGCCCAAACACGAGAGAGCCAGGCAGGCTTTAGACCAGGAAGAGGGTGTATTGATCATATCTTCACCCTCCGACAGATTCTAGAACATAGGCATTCCTACTGGCGTCCAACAGTCATTATATTTCTTGACCTAAAGGCAGCATTCGACTCTGTCGATCGCGAAGTTCTCTGGAGATGCTTGGCTGTAAAGGGAATTCCAAGAAAATATATTGCACTGATTAAGGCACTCTACTCGTACTCATACAGCCAGGTGAGGGCTTACGGCGAGTTTTCATTTGAAGTGGTGACGACTAGTGGTGTCCGTCAAGGATGCCCATTATCTCCTTTTCTATTCAACTTCATCATAGATGTGTTAATGGACTTAACCCTAGGTGACTTCAGTGACTCAGGAGTTGACTTGCTACCGGGGAATAATCTCGTTGACTTGGAATATGCAGACGATATAGTCCTTCTAGGCGAAGACGCTGACGCAATGCAGAGTCTTCTAAACACCTTGAGCCGCAATCTACGAATGTTTGGCATGCGATTCGCTCCCGCCAAATGCAAGATGATGTTACAGGACTGGACTACATCGACGCCTAGTTTAAAAATAGGAAGTGAAGTGGTAGAGCACGTTGACCGCTTCACTTATTTGGGAAGTACCATCAGCCAACGCCAACGGGCTGATCTCTGACGAAATCTCAGCACGAATACAAAGGGCTCGTTTCGCATTTGTTAGTTTACGCCGACTCTGGCGTAGACGAGATGTTGGACTATCGACCAAAAAGCGAGTGTACTGCTCATCAGTCCGCTCCGTCCTCCTTTATGACTGTGAGACCTGGCCATTGAGAGTGGAAGACATGAAAAGATTAGCTGTCTTTGATCATAGGTGCCTGCGCTCTATTCCCCATGTAAAGTGGCATAATGAGATAAGCAACATTGAGGTTAGGCGTAGAGTTCTAGGTAAACAGAGGGAAATCAATCGACGAAGTTGTGAAGCTACAAAGACTGAGATGGTTAGGACATGCGTTACGTATGCCAAGTCATCGCCTCCCTCGACGAGCAATGTTAGCGGATATAGGGTCAGGCTGGAAAAAAGCTGACGGCGGTCAAACAAAAACTTGGCATCAGTCAATGAAATCCACAACAGTTGGTCTAAGCCACGTAGGAAGGTGTAGACTTCCAGGCTGGGGTCCTCGGGACGGTAAAAATCTATGGTTGGAAACAATTGGTGACATGGCTCAAAATCGTTCTCAGTGGCCAGCGCAGATGCATCCACTCCTTGTGACTTATGATCTCCAATGAAACTGTTTTGTTTCTCTTTATTACTCCTTTGTCTCACACCTCTGCTCACTGTCTCTATTATGCTTTTCTTGTACTTTCTTCTCTTGCTTCGCGTGCTACA